TTACACAACAGTAGCTTGTGTAAATTTTGAGAAGTCTGGCTTCATTTTGCCTAAGGCCATATTGTTAGCTGGATATTACCCCAGTTTGACCACACTTAGTACCCTGCTGGGAGAGCAGCACCCTCCAGTTACCCACCGCTTGAAACTGCTTGGCAGATATTGACTGTCATGTTCCCTCGTTTGTTATGCCAAATGTCTGGGTTTACTTTTCACTTTGTGCCTTAGTTTTATGGACTTTTTATTGGTCCACATTATTTAGATGAAGCCAACTCAAGTATTTACATTCACCCGTATACAGCAATCACACAGGATAATTTTCCATGAAGCAGAAACCCAAATCTAGTTCAAAACAAAATGCCTAGCACAGTGCCTTGTGCACGCTAGTAGTCAAGAAAGATATTCTGTTTGATTGACAGCAATCGTACTTTCTTTGGGAGTTACTTCGTAGGATGCATTCTTGAAAACATTCTAACTTGTTATAATTGTTGAAGATGTCAGTATATAGGTATAGTTTACAATGACTATTTCCCATTGGATTAAATCATGTTATAAACTTTAAATAATTTCTTTAAGAAAATCACTTGTCCCAAAAGGCCTCCAGAAGTTGTTTTTATTATTTTCTGGGGGGGGGAGGGGTTGGGGGTAAGGATGTGGGATAAGGCTTTTTGGCTCCACTCTGTTAAAACTACATTGCCCCAGATCAAAGGTTTCAATCCTCCTAAAAAGGATAACCTTTTACATACTGCTCCATAGCCACTTATATTTATCAAAATTGACAATGGAAGTTTCTTTAACCAGTTCTCATTCTTTTCTCCCAGGAAAGCTTTCATCATTATCAAGGCAGTAAGCTTACTGAGCATTTCACATGGTTGCATAAAAATATATTGTCTAGATGATGTGCTGACAAAAGAATAATAAGCATCTGAAAAATGCAGATGTGGAAAATGATGTATACTTTTGTCCTGAAAGCTATTATCACTTTGATTTAGCTGAGCATAAGTTTATAATCATGAAATACTCTAATAATTACCGCATTCATCTGCTGGTTTATAGTCCTTTAAAAACACCTATGCACACATTTGTTAAACATTTATGCTTTGCCTTAGTATGAAAACTACGTGAAATGCTGGAATCCAGTTTTTTTTTTTCATCCAACCAACCACTTAACAATTGAGATGACAGCCAAGAACCAAAAATAGCTGCTCTGATTCTTGTGTTAGATCCATGCATTTAAATTTCTTCAAACTAATAACCCTGCTTGAATGGAAAAGTGCTAGGTGGGTATGAGTTTCCTAAAAGAGACATGTTTAAAGTGGTACCAGAAACAAGCTATTATTGTTTTTGGCATCTAAGCAAGAGCAGTCACAAAGTTCCTTGAAAAATCTGGGTGGAAAGCAAAGCGTACTTTTAACCTGCTGTACTTTCCTTTCTCTGTCTCTCCTATTATTTTAGTCCTTCTTTTTCATTATTTATTGCCTTCATTTATTCATTCCTTTCACTCACTCACCAACCTGTTATTTTTCAAACAAGAGTGAGATACTTTTTCAGTGCAGAAACAAAGATGTGAAAGAGAGGGACCTTGTTTAAGGCAGCTGCTGGTTTTGTTATGAAGATAGGTCACATCCAGGCACAACCAAAGTAGAAAAAAGAATGTGGTGAATGTCATTTAGTACACATCATTGTGAGCATTCAGAGGATGTCAAGCACCCAAGTTCTAGTTCAACTGAACCCTGAACACTGCCTTCTTGGGAAGTTCTTCCTCTCAGCCAGAGGTTCTCAACCTTGGCTGTGCATGAGAATTTCACTGATGGGGTTTTGAAAAGTCCTGAGACTCAGGCCAAATAACCATTCCCACTAAAAAAAAAAAAAAAAAAAAAACACAACAACAACAAACAAACAAACAAAAAACCCTCTGGAGATGGGACACAGATGTCAGTATTTTTTACATTGGCTATTGTTGAGAACCACTGTTTTAAGTATCCCTTTTTCTTTTAAATCTCATGTTACCCAGACTTCAATGTTACTTTTACACATTATTGTAGAGAGGAACAGAAAAGGAGGATAACTTTAGCGAAAATATTCACTTTTCTTATTCTTTTAACAAAAAAAACTAAAAAACAAATAAGCAAATAAAAGAACAATGGCAATAGCAACAAAACTCTTCTGTTAATTCTTGAGGATTAAAAGTTGCCAAAAGACAGAATGGAGAGGTCTTGGTAATCAGTGGTGGAAGGAAGTAAGGTGTGGCGTTTCTTGACCTGTGTGTAGTTTGAGAGATTCAGGGATGAAATGTGGTCATCTAAGGAAGGTGAGATGGGGTAGGTTCAACTTATCTGGTTAGATGGGAAGGTCCATAAAGGACATAGAATAATGGTAAGAAAGTCTGATTTGTTTTGACAACAGACTTTCAGTATTTATTCCAATAAATTTCACAGTATTAGATCAGTGCCCAAATTATTAAGCCCCGCTATGAAACCTGTAAAAACAAAACAAAACACAAATCATAAATCAAGACTAAGATTCCAGCCCTCATTGTGATGGTGGTGGGGGAGGATTAGGGAACTCCAACAAACGGCCCCAAATTTGGCCACTGTTAGGAAATCGTGAAGTCCTTTGGAATAGATACAAGTTTGTTGTTGGCAAATAAAAACTAAGTAAAACAGCTTACAAGGGAACTATTGTGAAGTGTTCTGTTTAACTCCGGTGGCCGAAGGAATCTTTTCCATGTGCTTTTTTCATATTACTTACAGTGTGGTAGAGTAGAAAGCTCATAGATAGAACAGACCCAGATTCAAACTCTGGGATTTTTTATCACTAACCGTGGACACTTGGGTTACAAATTAATCATTGGGCAAGTGATTGAATATTTTGATCCTCTATTCATCTACAAACAAGGTCTTCCTTTAGATTAAGGGTGGCAAGCTCAAAGGCCCTTGCAGGGCTGGAGAGGGGGGAGGACTTTGGCAAACTGGAAAGTGAGCCTTCGTTCTCTTCAAGGGCAGCCTCTACTTATATCCAGCAGACTGTTGGCATGTAGGCATGTAGGCTCAGTTATTTCTAGATTTGATTTTTCAAGAAAAGTCAGGTCCATATTTAATGTAAAATATCCCAGTTTTTAAGTGTTGACAACTAATTCCATTTTCTTTCAATATCATGTGAGCCAAACCAAACATCTGAATATAGCCTGTGGGCTACCGGTTGCAACCTTTCAATTTTGAAAGTCCCTTTCACTTACAGTGCTCTCTACTCTGTGAGCTTAGGAACAATTGTATGAATCTCACATGAGGGGCTCATCCTAAAGATTAGAAATAGAGTTATACCCCCGCTTCTAGATAAGTGTTTACTGTTGTTAGTGATTCACTATCCATAATCAATGTTACCTCCCAGGAAATTCTTATGCAAACAGCTTCTTGTTCCAAGATTAAAATATATTATATCTCCTGTTACTTATTAAAGCACATAGGCTTAATTTTCTGAATGTTTGTTTTATTCATATCTTTTTAACATGTCTGGTGGCTGATTTCAATTCCCCAGGGCCCAACTTTATTTTGTGTCAAGTCCTGGGAGGTAAAAGTTTAATCAACTTCAACGTTTATAAAGTTGAATATTTTATAAAGTCTTAGAGAAATATAGTCTTCCATCCCACCTGTTAGGGACTGAACTTTTGTCCCCCAAAATTCATATGTTGAAGCACTAACCCCCAATGAATCTGGAGATAGGGCCTCTAAGGAAGTAATTAAGGTTAAATGAGGTTATAAGAGTGAGGCCCTAACCCGATAGGACTGGTGTCCACCATCTCGTGCCCTCGGTCCCACTCACATGGACTAGTGCACCTGGCGCCCAGAGCCGGGGTGTGCCCACCATGGAGGCAGTGAGGACTCCACTGGGCTTGTAGCTGTGACCACCCACTGGTCACTGCAGCACCTACATCCAGGAGACCAGTGCTGGGTGCTTTCTTAAATATTGCCAGCAACAAAAATGACCTGTTTGCTCCTAATTACAGAAAACCTATGCAGACAATAAAAGCCTCTCAATCCCCCCACTGTTAGCATTTTAGTGTATTTCTAGTCAATCGTTCTTCTGTGCATATGTATATTTTTCTTTTAAACCCAATATGAATTATTATGTATTTACTATCATGGAAACATTCTCAATTAGTGATATGTCATTAGCAGATTCTAATGTCATTAATAGTTTCCAATGCCATTAAATATCCTTCTACAATTTGAGTTTTAAAAATAGTGGCATGTTATTTCATTATATGAATGTGCTGTAATACACTTTCATAATACTTTTTTCAAAATTGCTTAGGTAATACAAGCTTCAGACTGGATAGTTGAAAATATAGACAAGCACACAGACACAAAGTCATTTATAATCCTGAAAAAAAAAAAAAGAGGAAGAGACAGCAGGGGTGTGCTATGCACACTGGAAAGATCATGTGAGGACACAGTGAGAAGGTAGTCAGCTGCAAACCAGAAAAAGTAGGTTTCACCAGAAACGAACCCTGCCAACACCTTGATCTTGAACTACCAGCTTTTAGAACTATGAAAAAATAAATTTCTGTTGTTTAAGTCATTCAGCCTATGGTATTTTGTTAGGGCAGCCTAAACAGCCTAATATTATAACACCTATAACTAGCCTATGTCTTTGGTGCCTCATGTTTCTGATCTTTTAGGCCCCTTAAAAATTCCAGTCATCCTTAGAGAAATACTACTTTTAGACTCTTCTTTCCATTTGACTTCCTGCTCAAGAAACCTAATGTAAAGAAGTGATAAATGCCTGAGGCGATGGATACCCCAATTATTCTGATTTGATTAATTCACACTGTCTGCCTGTATCAAAACATCACATGTACCCTATAAACATATGCAACTATTATGTGTCCATAATAATTAAAATTAAAAAATAAAAAAAAGAAATTACGGACATTTCTGTATCTTCAATCCAGTATATCAAACTTTCTTTGTGATGGTAGAATACACAGTTTGGTGACTCACCCATAAAATGTAAGATAGAGGAAACCAATCCTTTTTCCAAGTTTTGAGACTTCTCCTCGTTTGTCAGATGCTCCTGTGAGTCGTACTATACCTACTTTCTTGAGGCTGGAGAGCCACTTGTATGCATGTTCGTCATTTCTTAAAACATCTTCAAAATCCAGAGTAGGTAGCTGGAGCTCTGAGCCCCAGTACTGACATTCTATGAATTAAGAAAATGAAGAAACAAGATGGGATTACATTGTTTTCACACACAATGATAACCTCAGAGGAGGGACTAATTCATTAGGGTCTATCTTTGATTTATCATGGTGTTTACTAAACGTTAGTCATATTAGAGATGCCCAAGTCACCAACTAGGCTGTTCTTCCTTGGCACGATGACTATCTATTATATGTCCCCTGCCTACAACTGTGTCTGGCTCATAGCAGGTATTCAATATATCCCATTTGTTGAGGGAATGTTGGTTAGCTTATAGATAGCTCTTGATCTGTATATCCCAGGGCTTCTCTGCCTGGACACTGCTTAGAAATAACCTTCAGATAGTGCATGTGTTAGCAACCAAGTTTTATTGCTCAGCTCCAAATGGACTAGAACGTTATGCCCATTCTTGGGGTTGGGAGTACTTTGCCATGGTAAGTATAGCTCTTTCTTCCTTTCATTTCAACTGATAAGAAACTATCTCTGGGCTCAAGTCATTCTTTGGGGTCAACAAGAAAAGAGGAGGGTATGTTCCTGGGATGAATAGACCCTTTAGTGGCAGTGTCACACAAGATCAGGTCAAATGCCTTCCCTTAGCTCTCTCATTCCTGATAATGAAATACTCACAAAAATGTTTACTTGAGAAAACAGAAGAAAAACAAATGTAGAAAAATAATTGATTTGGCAAACGGGGCTCTCCCCAAGGAAGTGAAACATATAGGAAATGGAAATTTGTCAAGGAAAACAACACAGATATTACCAACTCCATTCAGGAAAGACCTAACTTTAGCTAATCCATTTGATTTCTTTCTTTCTTGGGAAGGAAATTGTCTTGGAAAGGCAAACCCTCCTAACAAGTGACAGAATGAGAACTTGTGATCTCAGTATCATCCTGAACAATGCTTTATTTTCTAACTGGGGAATATGTCATGTTGTAGAAAACGAAACCAAAGCCCCCAGTTTAAGAATGAAGACTGGGTCAATGCTTCTTGCAGTAGTTGTGGACTGAGAATTATTCCCTCTTTGATGTCAGCACAGTGGTTTCTGTAGAAATAGGACTTTTTAAGGAGTCAAATAGTGGCTTTAGTAGTAAAGCGATACATGCAGATGCAGAGGGCCACTTGATGCTATTTCACCAGCTAGTTGCATACGGACATTTGCAGCAGTGAGTAGGTGTGTTTATGTAGGAAAAGCTAATCAGCTTATAAATGCATATATTGCCAAAGTTTCTGGGTTATTAAGCATAATAGCTTGCATAATGAGCCAGAATTTCCGGGACCTTAATTGCAAACAGTGCATTAGGCCTCCCTAGTGGCTATATTCATTTTTTAAGACTATGCTAATATTCTTTAATATTGAACACATTCCACAGGCCCAAGTCAATTACTGTATCTTTTCAGAAAGTGGAGCTGGTATTCAGCCACTTGTTCCTAATTTCACATTTTTAGTTCTTTTCCCCTTCAGACTAACCAGAACTGAAAGAACTATAGCCTTTCCCCTTCCTTTTTTACCCTTAATTTTAATTTTCTAATTTTTAGCACTGCTTTTCAAGTGCTTCTGACATTTGAGAAAACTTGAGAATTGAATATTAGCCAAATCACCCTGGCAAAGAAAAACAGATCAGCACATGAGCCATGTATTAGACCAGAACAAGTTGGTTAAAGCAATAATAGACAATGAGGCATGAAGGCTTCAGGATAATGATTATAAATTTGGAGGGAGAGGGGGTGAAGAGTGGTTTTATACAGTTTCTTGGTATTCCTTGATTATATTAGCTAGCCAATCATCGTTTTTTGGTTTATCTTTTCAGTAAGCCTAATATTTTACCATCTCACAAGGCACTGTGATAGGCAGTAGGTTTTAAGGAGCTCACAGTCTATGGGTGAACTGGACATGGAAGCTGACAATTAAAACATGTATGATAAATGCGATAGTTGAGGTACGTTCAGGATACCAAGAGGGTATCAGATCTTCTGATTCCTTATCTAATTGTTCTTTCTGTGATGACCAGCTACTCTTTAACATGCATGAAATTCCCCAGGTCTGTTCCTCATGCCTCAACTATTTCTTCTTAAATCAAAGAGGGTTGGTTTTATACTAAAGAGCCTTTTCTCAAAGAGGCTATTGATGTGTCTTTGTTTTGAATTTTGGATTATGTGGCTGTTTGTTTTGCCACTCCCATTTTGCTCATTGCATCTAAAGTCCCTGGGTTGTAATATCTGATACCAATCAAAAAGCTCTGCAGAAAGAGGATGATAGATATTATAAATAATGCACATTGGCTGCCTAACCAGAAAGATCTTTTGGTTTCTAGTTGGGAGAAAAATTTCACTCAGTCAGTTTAAGGGCATAAATAACAAATCACCATCTTCTCTTTCCAAAATTTATACCTAAGCAAACTATCAAAAGAAATGTTGAAAACAGCTTTAAGTGTATTGAACCTCAAGGTGTAAATCATGAACTCATAGAGTATTAGAGGTGGATGGATTGTTAGACATTCATCTGGCATTTCCATATTGGCTTTAGGATTTCCCACCACCATTAGTTCTTATTGAACAAAAAGGTTGCCTGGACTTCAACTGAAGATTCTTCTAGTTTTCTGGCACTGTGATGATCTGCCCAAAGACAGGTTTTCCATTCCTATGTAGACTACTGGATGGAAATAGCTATTGTCTTCATGACTCCCTATAGTAAATATGTTGTCTTTATCGTAGAGGTTTAAGTAATTTATTAAATAACATTTATTATAATTAGAAAAATTTATTATTTCCTATTGAAAGTAAACCAGCCTAGAGATTGGTATAAATTACAGTACTGTCCAATAGAACTTTCTGCAATGCTGGAAATATTCTATATCTGCACTGTCCAATACCATAGCTACTAGCAACATATGGCTATTGAAACTTGAGACCTGGCTGGTGGATCTGAGGGACTAAATTTTTTACTTTATATGATGTTAATTAATTCAAATAGCCACATGTGACTGGTTCTGTATTAGATAGGAAGGACACGCAGGGAGAAAAGAACACGGAGGCAGAGAGGCCGGGTTTGAATCATTGTCTGGCCTCTTACCAGCTAGTTTCTTGGCTTTTTCTCTGTGCCTCAGTCTCTTAATTTATAAAATACAGATAATTATATTTACCTTGTAGCTTTGTTGTGACCATGCAAAGATATTATGCCAAGAAGCCTAGTATAGTGCCTGATGCATAGTAGACCCTTAAAAACAATAATAAAAGCTAATATTTGCTGTGCACTTTCTAGCAGTAAGAGCACAGTGTTAGACACTTTCCATATATTATTTCTTTTAATCTCCACTGCAAATATATAGGATAGATAATTTCAGTATCACCACGTTATAGAGAAGGGAACAGAGGTCCTAGTCATGCAGCTAATGATTTGCAGAGCTAGTTAGTCAAATCCAGGTGACTGATTCCAAAATCTATAATTTTAACAACCACATATAAAATAAACAGTTGATGCCTTAAAAGTAGCTACTACCCTCATAGGTATTTTTATGTCCTATGTCGGAATGTCCATAGCTTATTCTGTCTCTTATGAAGGAAATCTACTAGATAAGAAAGAGCAGAGCAAATTACTATTAGGAACATTTTGTCTCAACTTGTTCAAGCATGGGTGTTTAAAGATAAACCTTGGCTCCTGGTAAGAATTTTAAATGCAGAAGAAACATTGTGAGCACTTTTAGTTGCACAACACTGCAATAATATTGTTATTCACCTTTTGTGAAATGAACCATGGCTTTGCATACTTAAAAATTGCTAGCTGCTTTTCTTTTTATGCCAGCATGTTTCAGTGATCCGTGCCCTTTTGGGTTTACTTAAGGCCATTATCACTTTCCAGAGAGTTTTAGTACTGGGTGGCAGGGAAATATAATAAAGATTGGAAACTCATTTTCACAAGATATAATTTATTTAAACTTTGAGTTTATATTTTGACTACTTTGTGGATTCAAGGACAATATGTTTAGAGCATACACTATATACTTTCATAGCATGTTTTAATGAATTTTTGTTTTTATATGAGTCATTTTTCCCACTATAGAACAATACACACACTCACACAAAATATTCTTTGTTTTAAAAGTACAGGCAAGTTTAGATTGTTTCAATAAATATGTTACCCTTTAGATGTGTACAATTAGCAATATTGTAGGATAATGCAGGACTATCAATATAATAGGCAGCATAGTTTGTAGTATAAATGATTTCAGATTTACAGGATTTTACTATTAGAGGGTGGTTACAATGGTTTTTAAATTCTGCAAAGTTCGCAATTTTCCAACCATAGCTCTCATTTTAGCATGCCTATTTTGGGGGGGAGCTTTGCTGAAATCAGAGACTAAGGGCCACACCCCATCAGAACCTGTGTCCCAGTACTACACTGGGTTATGCTAAGCATGACTTCCAGAGACAGCATTGTGACTAACCAGTTTCCAGATTCACCGTAATGACCTGAATGTAAAATACTCTGATTTTCAGGGATATAGGCATACCTTGGAGATATTGTGGGTTTGGTTCCAGACCACCAAAAATAAAGTGACTATCACAATAAAGCGAGTCACACAAATTTTTTGGTTTCCCAGTGCATATAAAAGTTATGTTTACACTATACTTAGTCTATTAAGTGTGCAATAGCATTATGTCTAAAAACATATACCCACCTTGATTTTAAAAATGCTTTATTGCTAAAAAATGCTAATGATCATCTGAGCCTTCATCAAGTAGTAACCTTTTTGCTGGTAGAGGGTCTTGCTCGATGTCGATAGCTGCTGACTGATTAGGGTAGTGGTTGCTGAAGGTTGGTGTGGCTGTGACAATTTCTTAAAATAAGACAACAGCGACGTTTACCATATTGATTAACTCTTCCTTTCATGAAAGATTTCTCTGTAGAATGCAATGATGTTTGATAGCATTTTACCCACAGTAGAACTTCTTTCAAAATTAGAGTCAATCTTCTCAAACCCAACCACTGCTCTGTCAACTA